CCAGCCCGCTTGGCTGAGTGGTTGAGCATTGACCTATGAACCAGGAGGTCATGGTTCAATTCCCAGTCAGGGCACATTCCCAGGTTGTGGGCTTGATCCTCAGTGTGGGGTATGCAGGAGGCAGCTGATCAATGATTCTCTCTCATTATTGATGTTCTTCATTCTCTCTCTCTCTCTCTCTCTCTCTCTCTCTCTCTCTCTCCCCTTCCTTTCTGAAATCAATAAAAATATATTTAAAAAAGAAAAAAGAATGTTTTCCTCTGGGGGACCTATAAAGGGAATGAAGAATGACAAGGGCATGAAAGTGAGATAGAATAAAGTGAGTATGATTAGCCCAAACATCTTCACCTGGGGTCTAAAAGATGAAAAAAAAATTGGGCATTTCAAAAAGATGAAAAAAAAATTGGGCATTTCATAAAGTAATGAGGGCAAATGTGTAAAGATCAGGATAACGAATTGTTATAAAAGCTATTTGTTTTGATGTATGCCCTAAAGTTCAAATGAGCTATAGTCTCTAGTTTCTTTCATGACTGAACATAAAAATATAATTTTCCCTACAGTCTATTAAAACTGCTGAATATCTTCAATTTTAGAAGTATCTAATTTCATGTTTAGTGAAAGCTTTCACTAAGTAATCCTTTTAAAATAATTAAACTGTTAGTGGAAGAGCAAAAATAACCTAAACCTCATTTATTCATGCATACAATTTCTCTATATCTTTATTTTCTTTCATTTATATTTTGGGAAGCATCTTTACTTAAATTTTTTTATTTACTAAGAGGACCACCCTTACTTTTTATCATGCATTATAGTACCACAATTTTTGAAACCCAAGGGAGAAAAAGAAAATAAAATGAATGCCTCATTCCTGGTCTTTCAGTAAAACCACTATCCATACAATACTTTACATTATGTACCTGGCATACAGAAGTTGTAATTCTATGTGTAGGTTTTAGCTACAAATGAATGTGTTATTTTAAAGTAGTTATCATGGAGAGCTTCCATTTATTCAAATAACTGTACCATTATTTAAATCATATTTATTATCCTCTTTCAGAATTGTTCAAAAGTTATTTTATGTGCTGAATAATACCCGTTCTCTGTATTACTTAATTTTTCCATATCTTGTTTTTTAAAATAAATATGTATACTATAAAATATGGATTACACAAAATGTACACTTCCCATTCCACAGAATGAATGATTTTCACTTGTTCCCCCAAATTAAATCCACTCATAAATGATAAATATAACAGTATTTATACTAAATACGAAGGTGTCTCACAGGCTCTCCGAAGAACTTGATCTCCTACAACAAGTACCTAAATGTTTTCTTTCTACTTCTTTGTACTTGAGTGGAGCATTAGCAAACAACCACCAAAAGAAAAACCCCTATTATTCTCTTAAAATCACACATCATAGCCATGGTCTATAAAAAATTTTGGTTCTATTTTAACCTACAATTTTTTTTTGGCTAAATTACTTCAAAATAGGGGTATTAAGATTGTACCTTTTTTGGCAGAGGAAGTTTTGAGAAAAGGCTTAAAGATGTCTTTCTTTTAAAAGAACAGCTTCCAATGCTTTAAAAAGTTTTCAAGTCCTAAAAAATACAGAAATGGTAAAATTTAACTTTCTTGTCTGTTTCCAATTCACTCAATATGTATATACTGTATATATACTGCCATATGTACATACTGTATGTACCTAATGGCACGTATAGTAGAGGAACATGCAGAAGTGAACGTCCTAACCTAAACAAAGAAGCTGGTGGTAGCATTTTTAGTATTCAGGTTTCCATAGATACTTCGGGTTACAGGCTGTCTACATCAGAGAACTTGAACTTGCTGTCTGCTCTGTTGCTCTTAATTTTTTTTTTACCTTAAATAAAGAAAGCCAGTAGGAGATTCCTAAAGATCTTTTTTCTTTGCCACTATCCCCAGGCAAGAAGGAGGAATTAGCCTTGCAATCTGATCCTTCTAGTCTCTGCATTTAATTTTAAGGCAGAAACTAGGCGACCAAAGACCTTAAGATTGACGAACAGCAGAGGGCAGCATTTACCCGTCGCTGAAATATCCCAGGGCTCAGTCAAGTTTTAAATTTGGATGGGGTCACTGTGGCAAAAATGCATGCCATATGCCCTATATTGTATTTGCGTTGCTTGGTTTAAATTCTTATTTTCAAACTGGTTTCTCTTAAAGGGAAAGGAATACTGACTTGATTCCTAGTCACTTTTTTTTTTCTTTTAAAGAAGCGATGCATGCGACAACAAAAATCAGCTACTGTAAATAGCAGGGGAATTAATTTGAATGCAGTACTTGGCACGTGAGCATTCTTCAAATTTAAATTTCATCCTGTTTATATTTTTTCATATCTATTTTCCCCAGACCAGAGAGAGAGAGAGAGAGAGAGAGAAGAAAAAGAAACAAAAAACCCCAAATTTTGTCAGGATTCCTTTGGCTACAGAATGTCAAGAGGGAAATATTCCAACAGAGATGAAAATTCCAAACTTTGCAACAGGAAAAGGGCTCCGTCTTTCCCAAGGGCTACCATTGTTATTGTTGTGCTCTAAGGTTTGGCTACTGGCACCTGGGATCCAGTTGGGAAGGGAAACAAAACAAACACCGAGTTTCCCTAGCTTTTCCTATAGGAAGTCCAGAGTAGTGGGTACGGAGGCATCGGTGCCCTTAGTCACCTGGGAGCTGGGGAGGGGAGCTGGGTGCAGGTTTAGGGTGGAGCCAGCCCAGGAGTGCAGGGAGTACGCTCTGTAGACCGAGGAGGAACGGGGAAGAGTCGGTTTGCATTTGGTCGGATCCATAGAAAGAGAAGAGGCAGGAAACGGTTAAAGCCAATCTGCGCTGTGCATTCCCAGACAGGCTTTGCTTAATCCTTCCTCCCCGCTCTACCAGACCCTCGCCCCCCGCCTTTCTTTTCTTTCTCTCGACCCCCTTACCCCTGAGTTATTACTACCATAACAACCGAACGGCTTCTCCCGGACCCCGCCACTAAAGTTATTTATCTGCAAACCTGACCTAACCCCCATCAATTCTTCGGCAGCTTTTTGCTGTTATTGCTCTGACGCCGGCCAAGATTTGACCAAAAGGGTGGGGGGGAGAAAAAAATCGCCCCCTTCTCAGCGCCTCCGACTCGCGGGGGTCCCACCCCGGAACGCCCACAGTCCCCCGGAGGCCACGGGAGTGATTAGCATCGGGAACAGCCAGTCGGCGGCCCGGGCACCCCGCGCGCGCGGGCGGGGCGGCGCGGGGCCCAATGGGCTGGGCGGGGGCGGGGCCGTGGGTGACAGGCTGGGAGCGAGGGGGAGTCGTCGCGAACCCCGAGCGGATCAATGAGTGGCGAGCAAAGTTTCGGAGTCCGGCTCGCCCCGCGGTCTGCCCGCCCCCCTGTTTGTGTGTCGACGGCGGCGGCGCGCGGCGCGAGTGCGCGCGCGTGCGGCGGACAGGGAAAAAAGGGGGCGGGGGGAAAGGGAAGGACTTGGGGGGCCCCGGAAAAAAGGTTTCCTGAGGTCCTGGGTTTTCCCCCCCGAAAAAAGCTTTCAGGCCCCGGGGGAGAAAAAAAAAAAAACTTTTAAAAGGCCCCTTTCCCCGGGGGTGGTGGCAATTTTTTGTGGGGGGCGGGTGCCCCCCCTTTCCCCCCGGCGAGGTGTATTAGAAAAAAAGGGGGGTCAAAGGCCCCCCCAAAAAAAAAAATCTTTTGGTGTTTTAAAAAAAGGAAAAATTTCCCCCGGGGGAGTTTAAAAAAAAAAAAAAAACCCCCGGGGGGGGGGGTGAAGGGGGCAAAAAAAAAAGGGGGTGTTTTTTTGGGGGGGCCCCCCC